TAAAAACACACTCAGTTCTTCATTCGTATATGCAAATAAAAAAATTCCAACACTGTCAATAAAATTAAAAAATTAAAAAAGAGAGAAAATTTTTTTGTCCAATGCCAATGCTTCCTTATTTCTATTTGTATTTAGTTTTAATGTACAAAATAAAAATAAAGCAAACAAAATATAATAGAGCGAATAAAGTTAATAAATAAGGTCAATAAAATTCATTGAGACGGAGCTTTCAAATTATATTTCCTACTTCAGCCACCAGATGACAGCAACTACATAATGAAAAGAAGTCAAACGACGTAACGCTCTTAGGTTTGACAGTTACAAATTGCTATTAAAAACGTTATTTAACATACTGGAAACACATCCGTCACATATAAAAAAACATGTTTATTGGTACAGGTAGGCTACAGTAACAATGCAGGCTATGTAGTCCATACGTTTTTATAATCAACAACAAGTATATACTGTTAAGACAAACCATGTACAGTAGCCTACAACTTGAGTAGACAATAAACAATGTAAGCAAAGAGCATATATAGGCTAGAGTTATTTTAGCTTCGGTATATGCAGGCTATAGTTTATTTAACAGTCACAAATCGTAGTTGGCGCAGTGGCCCCTTTAAATGAGCGCCGAGCACTTTACAGAATAGGTGCCAGAAGATGTAGGCGAATAAACTGCGGCTGTTTTTTTTTTCTTTAGAAATGTGGATCAAAACAACGTTCTAAACGGCAAAATTGGCTACAAAATCAGTCATAGAGTTCATCGCACCTTCGCTTGCTTGTCCCGCTACAGCCTGCATATCTACACACAGCATCGCAAAAGGACGAAGAAGGTCAAGAGAACATGTATCGCTGCCCGGATAACGGGTGTGTGTCTGAATCGTCAGAGAAAACGACGAATGGAGAGGTTTGCTATTCGAGCCATTGAAGAGCAAACGCAACTTAAACGCATGAAAAACAGAGAGGAATGTCCGCATCCCGTCTGTTCACCGGCGCTCGAGCATCTCTGTGCAGCAGCAGCAGCAGCAGCAGCAGCAAACGGAGCAAAACGATGCTCAGCCTGAGAATTAAAGGGACGGGGGGTGCGATCTTTTGATTTCTTCAAGTACTCTCTTACTGACTCCTCCTGTGCTACTCGGAGCCCATGTGGCCAAGCCCACTGGGTTCAGATAGGTACCTATACCAGCAGGGGACCTCTGTATAAAGGCTGACATAGTTTAGAAGCACCAGCAGTTGCTGGTCTTTAGCATCCAGGTCTTACAAACAGAGGAGTGGAACACACTGAACGACACAAATAATCATGTCTCACGCTTGGGATTATGGATCAAATGACGGTAAGAGCAGTTTTAAGGGTAATAAATGAATACTTTAGAATTTAGTAAGTAATTAGAATTAAATTAATGTGATCATTGCTAAAAAGTGATCAAAGAACAGTTATCTCCATGCATTATGATTTATTAGGTTACTCTGTGGGGGAAATTATTATTAAAACAGAAATCAAATACAAGCAAAGTGCACTCTTATTAATGTAGCAGTACCATTTTAAAAGATAGCCTATTAATATATACCATTTACATATAAATATGTACAGTTTAAATATTAATATGTACATTTAAGGTAGTTTGCTCCCTTTAGGGGGAAATAAGGTATAAAAGTTTACCTTTTAAAAGGGTTCTGCCCCAGTGGCAGCTTTTGTACCTTTTTTGTGAGAGTGTGAGATAAATTGTGGCAGACTACTGTAGACTGTAAACAAAATGTTTTGTTGGTTTGTTAAGTGTGAATTAAAAAAAGAAAGAAATAAAGAAAGGGACAGTAATATGAATAAAACAATCTGGATAAATACACCATCAAAAGTCATTTCTAAATGTCAAAGCATGAAAAAGCTCCTCGAAGTAACAGCTGCACGTATCCACTCCTTTCAGTGTACATTTGCTGACCTTGAATCTTGCAAGGAATGTAAACACACTTTTGTTGTGCATCTAGGCACTAACTTTTTATCTTACTGTTCCGCGTTTCATCTTTTTGTCATTTCAGGGCCAGAAAAGTGGGCAGAAAGCTTTCCCATTGCAAACGGACCCAGGCAGTCTCCCATTGATATCGTACCCACCCAAGCACAAAATGACCCTTCTCTGAAGCAACTCAAATTGAAGTATGACCCCGCCACCGCTAAGGGCATCCTCAACAATGGCCATTCATTCCAAGTGGATTTCACTGATGATGACAACAGCTCAAGTTAGTATATTACTGCAATTAAAATAACTGTTGTTCTTTATTTTCAACCTCTTAAAGCAGTATTAAACCT